ATCAAGCAATGAAATTCACCACATGGAAAGAATGAAGACAGACCATATGATCATACAGTAAATGCAGCAAAAGCATTTGATAAAATTCAACACCCAGAGTTTTCATAACAACAAGAATAAAAAGCAAACTAGGAATAAAGTTAAATTCCCCAAACTGATGATAAGTTTTCACAAAAAAACTACAGGTAACATCTTAGCTGATGGTGGAATATTACATGCCTTCAGCGTTCAACAAAAGGGCAAGAATGCCATAATTACTGCTTCTATTCAATCTTGCACTGGAGGGTCTGATCAGTGCAATAAAGAAATAAAAGGTATAAAGTTTGCAAAGAAAAAATAAAAGTTGTCATTCAAGGATGACATGCTTAAGTGGAAAATCCAAAGGAATCTATAAAAAAGCAATTAGAAATAATAAGTGCACATTAGGCTGGCAAATAAAAATAAACTATATTTCTATAAACTAGAAATGAACTAGAAAATAAAATTTAAAAATAATACCACTTACAGCAGCATCAAGAAATGCCAAGTACCCAGAAGTTAAATGAAAGATGTTTAAGACTTCTACACTGCAAACTACAAAACATTATGGAGAAAAAATTTTAAAGATCTAATAAATAAAGATATGCACCATGTTCATGAAAACTCAGTGTAGAAAAATATCAGTTCTCTCCCAAATTGATCTACTGATTCAATACCAATTATATAATCTCCACAATTTTTGCAAAAATTAATGAATTGATTCTACTATTTACATGGAAATGCAAAAGCCCTAGAATAGCTATGACAATCATGAAGAACATCAAAATTGGAGGACTGTAGTGCCTGATAGAGCTACAGTTACTGAGACAGTGTGGTATTGATTCAAATAAAGACAAATAGACCCATGCAACTGAACAGAGATGATAGAAAAGACACTCCCGCAATTTACTATGGGAAGAATGGTATTTTCAGTAAAAGGTACTTAATCATTTGGTTATCCATAAAGACAAAAATGAACTTTGTCCATACCTCTCATCATCACAAACATTAATTTGAGATGGATACTAGATCTCAATCTACAACTAAAGCAATTAAGCCTCTAGAAAAAATATAAGGAAAATATCTTCTGGCTTCAGGTTACATAAACATTTCCCCCAGATTTATTTCAATATATTTGACAAGTAATACTGTCCTGGGTGAGTTGGGTGTCCACCTTGGGATCTCTTTCCCCACTGGAGAAAGGAAAGGCCCAGTGGGCTCCTCAGGGCTGCCTTGTGCCTGGTGATGTGATCAAAGTGAAACCCCTCCTCTTATCCTTCTAATGTGGTCCTTCCTCTTCTCTCTGGTCCTGGGCTCTGGGATTTTCACAAGAGTGCTTTCTATGGATAGTTGTTAGTTGGTCTTCTTGTGAGGGGGACTGAAGTTGAGAATGACCTATGTTGCCATTTTGATATTGTCACCTCTTTAGGTAAACTTTTTTTTTTAAAGATTTATTTACTTATTTGACAGAGAGAAAGACAGCATGCAGAGGGGAGGGCAGAGGGAGAGAGAGCATCTCAAGCAGACTCCACCGTGAGTGCGGAGCCCAACATGAGGCTTGCTCTCACTACTCGGAGATCATGACCTGAGCCGAACTCAGGAGTTGGACACAGCTGACTGAGCCACCCAGGTGCCCCTAGGCAAACATTTCTTATACAGGACACAGAAAACACTAACTATAAAGAACAAGTGATAAATTGGATTTAACGAAAATTAAAGATTTGTCATTATCAAAAAACACCTTTAAGAATGCAATGAGGCCAGTCTGAAGAAAATATCTACAACACACGTATTCAATAAAGGACTTCTGTTCAGGATATATGAGAGACTCCTCAAAGTGAATGTTGACAGTGTAATAGTGGATGTAATGGGATTTGGGGATTTGAAGATTGGGAGGACAGGTAAAAAAGAAAAGGAGGGGTAGGGATATTTATATCCTCATCATACATCATAAGTCACATAATCTTATGTTAGCATGATGGAACAAGGAACAAAGGTTTAAGGGCGCCTGGGTGGCTCAGTCATTAAGCGTTTGCCTTCAGCTCAGGTCATGATCCCAGGGTCCTGGGATCGAGCCCCACATCAGGCTCCCTCCTCGGCGGGAAGCCTGCTCTCCCTCTCCCACTCCTGCTGCTTGTGTTCCCTCTCTCGCTATCTCTGTCTCTGTCAAATAAATAAATGAAATCTTAAAAAAAAAAAAAGAAACAAAGGTTTAAATATTCTTTAAAGAAGTAAGGTAACAAATAGAGGAACTAAAAAATAATCATATATGATACTGGGAGGGGAGATAGGCAAGGCTGTGTAAGGGATAAGCAAGATAAGCTCTCAATTATCTTTGCAGAAAGTCAACGGGTCACTTATAAAGTTGATAAATAAAAAATAATTATACAAGAATATTATGCAGAAACACAGAAATAACTACTACAAGATCTAAAACAAAAAACAGTTAAAAGTGGTTCCCTTTAGGATATGAGGGTAGAGAAGAGTACGAGAGGGTAAAAGAAGTGCTTTTATTTATAAGGTCTCCTACATTATTTTACTTAATGAAATATATATATATTATTTTTATTTAAAATATTCAAATGTGAGAAAATGCCTTGATTTACATTAGTTTGACTATGCAGATTAGTCATTTATAAGGCCACGTAATGTGTTAAAATTGGCATCCTTATTTAGAAGTCATCCTCTGAGCCACTTGAAGCAGAATGTTTCTAGACTTAAGATCAAATGTATTCTCTTTGAATCTCAGAACTATTATGGTTCCATGACTTTCATGGTTAGCTTCTCTTCAGTTTCTAACCACTTTTTAAATGCAACTGTGCAGTCATACCTTCTGTTGCAGGGGTACCATTTTATCTTCCGATACAACCTGCTTAGAGACATTCAACATACTGATCTTATCTAAACTGATCACCATTTTTATTTCATTTTTTTAATTTTCTAAATCTTTTTTTTACATCATTGATTTCCCTTAAATATCAGTTGATCCTTGATTGTGCATTAATACTTAAGAATGAAGGTCTATGTCAATTTTTCCAAGGAACTAGTCGGAGTATCCCGAGCTTTTTTGTAAGTCTCCATTTTCCCATCGTTGTCACATATGAATGGAAAGATGGTCTGGGAGCTTTGTAATGTGGGTGGAATAAGATAATCAGTAGACTCTCGGTGGGGGGGGGGGGTATGGTTAGGTAGCCAGCAATCAAGCACGGTGTCTTTCAAATACTAAAATTAAGAGACTTTTATGTGTAGTGCCAAATCCACAATAGAATTAGCTTTTCCCAATAAATAGTTCACTTAATTTTTTACAAAAGAGATAAGCCATCAGGGTTTTCCCCCTAATAGTAAATATCCCTACAAGCAAATTTTTTGACCAATGGTAAATATCCATTTACCTGTAGCTTTGGGGCTTGAAGTGACAGCACGGACATCTGTCACAGCTACACTGCATACCAGTAACCTTGTATGTAACCAAATAACCAAGTAATGCCTACGGTCATTCTCCTGCCAGATCTTTTAAATTGCTAACTCCAAATCGCTTCTTGGCCTTTTGGCTAAGATCAAGTGTAAATTGCTAACTCAGAATTGATATCCTTTCTAGGGTCCCAGTGACAAACCAGCTCTCTCACTGGAGCCCCTCTGATGTGTGTCGAGGCAAGTCTTCTACACAGTTCTATCCTATTTTTGGTTTTCCAAAAATGAGATAAAATTAATCTGCTCATGAACTCCCTTCTCTCTGGTATGGGTTAACTTTCTGTCTACTGTCATTTCAATAGGGTTCTGCAGGGACAAAAAGTGAAAATGTATGCTCAGTCTACCATCTTTTTAAAATACACATACACAGGGCGCCTGGGTGGCTCAGTCAGTGAAGCATCTGCCTTTAGCTCAGATCATGATCCCAGAGTCCTGGGGTTGAGTCCCTCATCGGGCTCCCTACTCAGTGGGGAGCCTGCTTCTCCCTCTGCCTCTCTCTGTCTCTCATGAATAAATAAAATCTTAAAAAAAAAAAAAAAAGAAATGAAATACACATACACACACGCTTGTCTGTTTATCTACAGGGCTTCTCTACTGAAACTCCTTAAGGGCAAGGAGGTACTGTAAAGTGCCTCACGCAGTGCTAGGAATATAAAAGGCATACAAAGTAATGTGTCTGGTTGGATTTGGATGTGGGATAAAGGAAGTTACAAATAACAGAAAAGCTTAAGTCTAGTTAACAAGTAGGCTAATAGAAACCATCAAAGGAATAGATTTTAAAAGCAAATTATTATTTTAGTATTGGAAATCGATAGTTATGGGTTTTATGGATTTGAAAGAGGCAAAAGAAACAAATAATGGAAGCTATTTAGCAAGACTTAATGAGCCAATACAAAGGTATTCTGGTGTGCTAGAAGCAGCCATGCCATGTCACACAAAATTATCAAACACAGACAGTGTTACTGCTATCACAGAGGAAAGAGTAGAGTCATCTTAGCTGTTGGCTCTCACCCAACCAGGTGAATCAACTCGGAATATTCCTTACACCAGTGGGACCAGCCATACCCACACTAAAGCATGATAAATAAGTATATTAATTCAGACACAGTTTATTATTAAACATTGTCTTCAAAAGTAGGTACTCAATAAATATTTAATAATTAATTAAATATTTAATGTATCCCTAACACCCATTCAAAAACCTGATTCCCAAGTCAAGAAATAAAATTTTAGAGGTTAAAGCCAAATAACCCTAGTAGTGATACTTTTGTTGATCATAGCCATTATCGAAGTGACTGGCCCTGACCAGGAGCTCAGTAAGGATTTGTGAGGCTAACAAGATAACTAATTAATGTTAAGTTTTTTAACTTCTAAAAAATGTGTGCTTTTAAAGCAAAGGGTGGTACACAAATCCGTAAATATACTAAAAACTATTGAACTGTACACTTTCAACAGGTGAACCTTATTATATATAAATTATATTGCTATCAAGGTGCAAAAAATAAACTCACAAGGAAACATTTCCAGGCCTTCTGAATGATTCTGGCAGCTTTATCCCTCTCTGTAAGTTCTGACTCCTCTTTCCAAGGCATTTGAAAGTCCTAAAATAAAACAAGGGTATGTTCAAAATCTCTTTATAAACTCCATTATGAAACTCATTAGAATTCAAGAAAAACAGAAGTTGAGTAAAGGAAATAATACTGGTGAGATTTGGTATAAAAATAATTTTAATAAAAATAAAAATTGTTACCTACTATTGATTGCCTTATATGCTCCAATTTGTTTCTTTTTCTAATTTAAACAACAATCGTGCAGAGCGGATTTTGCCAATTTGCTTGTGTTAGAGATGAGACTGCACTTCAAGACCTAAGGTCAAATAGTGATTGACTAAGCCAGTATTAAACCCATGTCAGTTTCTCTTGAAAATCCATGACCTTTCATGTCCCCATTCAATGACTTCAAATAGCGCTTTTTTTTAAAGATTTTTATTTATTTATTTGACAGAGAGAGAGAGCGAGTGAGCACAAGTGGGGGAACAGCAAAGGGAGAAGGAAAAGCAGGTTAAGTAGGGAGCCCAACATGGGGCTTGATCCCAGATCATGTCCTGAGGCACAGGCAGATGCTTAATTGACTGAGCCACCCAGGTGCTCCCAAATAAGCTTTTCTTAATCAACATGCACAATGACAGTTTCATCCCAAATTTATACAGGCTCCTAACCTAGAGTTAGAGATGATTATAGAATTTTTCTTACTTTGTAACTCGTAAATGTGCTGACAAATTAATAAATCATGCACTAAATTGCCAGAAAAAGAGATGAAGCCTGACTACTAAGATGCAAAACAAAATCACTAGTTCTAGCCATAATTTTTATTAATACTGTGAATAAATAAGTAATGGGAGAAGTCAGAAAGTCATAGTTTAGGAGTCCTTTAAAAAGTTGCAGCAGACAGAGAGGATCCTGGGAAGAAAGTGGACTAAGGAAGCACCAGGAATCTGTCTCCCCATCTAGACAACTGCACTGGCCAAATCTAATGTAAATATTTGGAACTTTGGACTCTATTGAAGGCTTGCAACTTCCAGGGGAAGGCTTGGGGGGTAAACTCCTGTTAACTCTGGTCAATTCTGGCTCTTAGCCCAGTCCTAGCTATCCACTCCCTTACCTCAGCCCCAGCAGCAGCAGCTGCGTACACGTTCCTGGAACAACCTGCACACAGCTTGTGGGAGAGGGGGTGGAGAAAAAGGACTCTGTCCTGGAAATACAGGAGATCTGTGTTGGGATTGTTGGTTGCTGCTTCTGATTACAGAGGTGCAGACAAACAGGAGGGCAGTCATTGGTGCTGTACCTCCACCTTCCACCATTGTTGCAAGCCCTTCCCATCTGGCAACTTCCAGGGAACTTAAAGGGTTTTTCCTTCCCTTTACATTGTTCTCCTTTCCCCCTTTGGGGGCCAGGCATTCAAAACTAGGACATTCAAAAATAACTACAAAGAGAGAGAAAATTAGAAAGTGACCAGTCATTTCCAGGGAAAGGCACAGACTCAGAAAACTGAGAAGACCTTAAGTTTACAATTCTGGCTGATCCTTAACTGATCCTTGTAAGCTATGGAAACAGTCTACAGCAATTAAAAAAAAAAAAAGAAAACACACACATACACAAACAACACAGTAAACTCTGAGGAAAGGAAAGAAGCTCATTTCCAGAGTACCTGCATTATTAAATTCAAATTTCCACTTTTCAACAAAAAATTATAAGGCATATAAAGAAACACAAAATAATGGCTCATTCAAGGAAAAAAATAAATCAACAGAAACTGAGACTGAAAAAGACCTGATGGCAGATCTACTAGACAAAGACCTTAAAACACTGTTTTAAAGATGCTCAAAAAACTGAAGGAAGATGTGGAGAAATTGAAGAAATGATGCACAAAATGGAAATATCAATAAAGAAACAAAACCTAAAAAGAGACCAAATAGAAACTCTGAAGCTGAATAGTAGAATAACTGAAAGGATCAATTTATTAGTGGGATTCAAAAGCAGAGTTGAGCAGGCAGAAGAAATAATCAGCATACTTGAAGATAAACCGAAGGAAACTGTCAAGTCTGAGAAAGAAAAAAGATTGAATAAAAGTAAATAGAGCCTAAGAGACCTATGGTACACCAGTAAGCAGACCAACATGCACATTGTGGGAGTGCCAGAAGGAGAAGAGAAAAAGAAGGGGGAAGAGAAGGTATCTCAAGAAATACTGGCTGAAAAATGCCAAATTTGATGAAATACATGAATATCAACATCCCAGAAGCTCAACAGACTCCAAGATCAACTCAAAGATACATCCACACCAAGACACATTATAATTAAACTTTTGAAAGCCAAAGATTAAGAGAAACTCTTGAAAACAACAAGAGAGAAGTGATTCATGACATACAAGGAATTTTTAATATATTAACAGATTTGTCATCAGAAACTTTGGAGGCCAGAAGACAGTGGGTCAATATATTTAAACTGCTTAACAACAACAAAAAAATACAAGCCAAGAATCCTATATCTAGCAAACCTGCTCTTTGAGAGTAAGGGAGAAATTAAGCATTCCCAGATAAACAAAAGCTGTAAGAGTTCATTGCTACTAGACCTGTTCTGCAAGAAATGTTCAAGAGAATCCTGCAGGAAAAAATGAAAGGACACTTGACAGTAACTCAAAGTTATATGAAGAAATAGAAATTTCATTAAAAGTAAATAAATGGGCAGTTATAAAAGCTAATATTATTGTAATAATTTGTAACTATTTTTTGGTTTTTACATGATTTAAGAGAACAATATATTTTTTATTTACTTTTTATTTATTTTTTATTTTATTTTATTTTATTTATTTATTTGCGAGAGAGAGAATGAGCAACAGAGAGCACAAGAGGGAGGAGGGTCAGAGGGAGCAGCAGACTCCCTGCCGAGCAGGGAGCCTGATGCGGGACTCGATCCCGGGACTCCAGGATCATGACCTGAGCTGAAGGCAGTCGCTTAACCAACTGAGCCACCCAGGCGCCCAGAACAATATATTTTTTAAAATTATAATTCTAAAAACTAGAATTATGGTAACTTTGGTTTGTAATTCCACATACTGTTTAATTTAAAAGACAAGTATATTTAAAATATTAGATTGTGTTTTGGGGGCACACAATGTATAAAAATGTAATTTTGTAACATCAACAATTAAAAGGAGTTGGGATGGAGCTGTAAAAGAGGAGTTTTGTATGTTAATGGAGTTAAACTGGCATAAATCCACAATGGAGTGCTTTAACTTTAGGATATTAAATGTAATCCCCATGGTAACCACAAAGGAAACAGCTACAGAGTATACACAAAAGGATATGAGAAATTAATTTAAGTGTTTCACTATAAAAAATCAACTAAACACAAAAGAAGACAGTAATGCAGGAAATGATTTAAAAGTTATAAAGCAGGGATGCCTGGGTGGCTCAGTTGGTTAAGTGTCTGCCTTCAGGTCATGATCCCAGGGTCCTGGGATTGAGTTCTGCATCAGCCTCCCTGCTCAGCGGGGAGCCTGCTGCTCCCCCTGCTAGTGCTCACTCACTCTCTCTCTCTCTGACAAATAAATAAAATCTTTTAAAAAAAAGTTATAAAGCATATAGAAAACAAATAGCAAAGACAGAAGTAAGGCCCTCCTCAGTAATTACTTTAAATGTAAATGGATTAAACTCTCCAATCAAAATACAGAGATTTGCAGCATGGATAAAAACACAGAATCCAGGGGCGCCTGGGTGGCTCAGTTGGTTAGGCGACTGCCTTCGGCTCAGGTCGTGATCCTGGAGTCCCGGGATCGAGTCCCACATCAGGCTCCCTGCTCAGCAGGGAGTCTGCTTCTCCCTCTGACCCTCCTCCCTCTCATGCTCTCTGTCTCTCATTGTCTCTCTCGCAAATAAATAAAATCTTTAAAAAAACAAACAAAAAAAACACCACAGAATCCAACTATATGCTATGTAAAATAGACTCACATTAGATTCAAAGACACAAATAGACTGAAAGTGAAAAGATGGAAAAAGATATTCCATGCAAATAGTAACCAAAAGAAAGGAGTGGTGGCTATCTTAATGTCAGACAAAATAGACTTTAAATCAAAAAAGTTTAAAAAAGACAAAGGACATTATGCATTAACAAAAGATTCAATGAAGTAAGAAAATATAACAAACATTTATGCATCTAATAATAGACCAGCAAAATATATGAAGCAAAAAATGACAGAATTGAGGAATATATATATGCCATAGACATATATAGCTTTACTATAACAGTTGCAGATTTCAATACCCCATTCTCAATAATGGACAGAATAACCAGACAGAAATAAATAAGGAAATAGAGGACTTGAACAACACAATAAATCAATTTGATCTAACAAACACAGAACATTCTACCAAATAATAGCAGCATTCACATTCTTCTCAAGTGCACGAGGGACATTTTCTAGGTCAGACCATATATTTGGCCACAAATTATGTCTCAATGTATTTTGAAAGACAGTTATCATACAAAGTATCTTATCAAAGCACAACAGGATGAAGTTAGAAACCAACGACAGGTAAATTTACACATTTGTGGAAATTAAATAACATACTCTTAAACAATCAATGGATCAAAGAAATTACATGGGAAATTAGGAAAATGAAAACTAAAACACAATGTATCAAAACTTACAGAAAGCAGTGAAAGCAGTGTTAAGAGGGAAACTTAGAACTATATACCCATTAAAAAAAAGAAAGATCTCAAATCAATATCTAACTACAACTTACAGACCTAGTAAAAGAAAACAAACTAAACCCAGAGCTAGAAGAAGATTAGAACAGACATAAAAGAAATAGAGAACATAAAAACAATAGAGTAAATCAATGAAATTAAAGATGATTCTTTGAAAAGATCACCCAAATTGGCAAATCTTTAGTTAGATGGATGGAGAAAAAAATTACTTTTGGTAATTTAGAAAGGAGATGAGGACATTACTACTGATTCTACAGTACTATGAACAATGAGTCATAGTTTATAGTCATGTTTGATAACCTGATGAAACTGACAAATTCCAGGGGTGCCTGGGT